TCCCAAATAAAGTCATGGGTCGTTGCGCTGGAATCGTAGTCACGGGGCAGGGCCGTTACCAGATTGGCGATGCGCCCATTCGTATTCCTGCCCAGAACATTTCCATCAATTTATTCTCGTTGAGCGGAATGAGTCTTTTTTCTAAAGAAAAAGCGCACGCTGAAGATCCCTGAAATTACGTGCCTAGTAAGCTTGATGTAGTATTGACACATACAAGCCGAGGTCAGCGGTTCACTGTCGGCCTACCACTTTTGGAGAGCATGGTGTGTCTCCCGCTCTAGTGTCCCTCCTCTGCCAGCTGTGCCGCCTTGGCGCATCAACCTCGAAGTGCCTTCAAACCATTAAAAGGCACTGGAAGTGCACCTTTCTTGTCCGGCCATCAATAGCTAGACCGCAACCTTAACCAACTAGGCCCTGCTAGGTTGCTTGTGTCTTCCGACGTCATGGCAGCTTTTCCTGCAACCGCCACGGTGCCGCTCACGGTCACTACACCGTTTGTACCGCCATCAGACTGCTCAACACAATGGAAAACTACGAATGTGCCTTTGCCTATGTCAAGCGGCACCACACTGATGACGCCTGTCTTAGTTTACGATCCATCTGCACTTGTTACCCGTCTGGCTCATTTGACCGAGCACCAGAAAACCGACTCAACTTCAGGCCTGGGCTTTGTCCAGATGGCTTGATATATCACAACATGGCAGTAGCCAGTTCAGGGGCTTCAACTGCTTATTGCTGCGACAGGTTCGTTAGACACTTGTTGATTGTGATTCAGGATTGAGAATGGAAGTTTTCACCTTGCAACAACGAATGTCTTGACGTGATACTGCAGGGGTTTCGATTTTCGATTTTTCGACGGATACACCTACGCGACGTCGATCTTCTCAGAAGGTTGCGGTCGATACGCCTCTGTCACAGCATTCGGACCCACTGTCTCGGGGGACAAGACTCTGATGGTGCACGAAGCCTGGGCTGTGACTTGGGATGCATCCGACACGCCAACTTTGACGCCTCAACTGCCCAATTTGACGAATTCAATGTTCGTGCCTGTTTGGACACCTGGTGACAGGATCCCAGATGGGATATATGATCACGACGAGGGGAAGGACGGAAATGCCACGAGCAAAACTATGCGGTTGGTTTTGTTGATCGACTTACCAATCATTGCAGCAATCATTATTTGTCTTGTTATATGGTGTGTAGTTAGGAAGTACAGAAGGAGCAGACGAAAGAAGAGAGAATTGAAGGCTCGACGGGGAAAGGCTGTCAGCAGAGACGCGGCGTGAATGGAGACTTCAAGTTACGGCGGAATGAATATCCCGACAAATCTGATTCGACATAATTGGTAGTAGAGTCTACGAGCCTTGGTGGCGCCATCATAATCAAATTCCTTCATGGTAACACGGCGCCGCAACATCGTAATCGATCGGCAAAGCATCTCATCAGGTCATACATCAGTCTTCAAATGCAAAAGATTCACCGCATTCCGTTTCACATACAATACTAAAAGACTTTTGGATCGCAATAACATTGATGCTTGACAGGCCATGACGGCTGACGTACAAAAAGGCCATCTAATACAGACTTCTAGACGTCATATTTATGACCAACAATATGTGCGTATCACGACCCCTGCACCATCTGGTGTGTTTGGCTGATCTCGCCCCAAGTTTGCCGCTTAGCACGGATATCCAGAGCTGCACTGAGTGGCGGTGCAGCAGGTCTGCTTGCCATTGTTGCATGCGGTGCACCAGTACTGGCGTGCGGTCAACTTCTCGCCGCTGAACATCATGGTGGGAGCTTCAGCCTCGGCAATTGGGGTAGCTGAAACGAAGGCAGCTGCGAGAGCGGCGAGAACAAACTTGGCGAACTGCATTTTGTTGTGGGTTGAATTTGGATGATTCTGGTTTAAGGTGAGGTCAGTACTGGCCCCGAATATGTTGCAATTTGGGCGAGATATTGCAACTCACAGATTGAAGATGTGTAAGATACGTCGACTACTTGGTCTGATGTTGCTTTGAGGATGGATAATACAGAAGACAAGTGAGGAAAGAGACTGATCTTTATACTTGCCTTCATTCTGAATCTCAATCCTCGAAACATCTGAACAATACACTCGACGGTAACCGAAGTCTCGTATCCGAGAGCGTTCAACATCAGGATGCTTCACGCGCTCCAACTGTCTTGCTCCTGGAGTGTCGTAAGTGTCGTTTCGTTTTCGTTCCACGAATAGAATCGTCTCTTCTCATTCTTGATGTTATCATGATACCCATTGTGGCCATGTCCTTCGAATCCTTCACATGCGAGTCTACCAATAGTCCGAAAGCTCAAGCGATGCCAGACTTTAGGCGAACTGACGAAGGATTCGGATACTACGTCAGCATACTTTTTGAACTTCCCCGCATACGGCACAGGCTGACAGGTATCTCCTGTGGGGATACAACCGCCATTATGATTAGTGCGCTTCATTTAAAAGAACTTTCGAACACGTTCATGCCTCGCCTAGTTAGATTGAGGAGTCATCCCCTCCAGCCCAGCTGTGAAGGGTTGAATCGTGGTAGATCGGCTTGCTCCTAACTCGGGCATAATCAACTGATGAAGGTTATTCGGAGCAATCTCCATGCACCTGGACATAGGTCCATTGACGATCACCTTGTGCCGCTCTATCCGGTCTTTACATTTTCTCGGCATGCATTGAGACGAACACCTCCGTCAGTATTTGCCTGGAAATTGCCCTTAGGCTCTTCTCTCATTGTGCTCTAATTGATACTAATCCGTTCAGGGTCAACTCAACGTAACTCGTGACTTTCATCGGAACACGTTTCGAAATTGGAATTCTGGTAGTAGCTCCGCAGCCTTCCAATTCCAAACTCCCAAGCATATCGCCGCATGGGGACGAATATGTGAATATTTTGATATCCTGTTCCAGTCCCGTTTCTGGTAGCTCGTATTTGCAATAGATACCTGATCCTTTCAAGACCAACCTTTTCCTCTATGATCCGAGACCATCGATACCTTTCCCCCCGTTCTCGCCTTGAGATACAGCGAAGGCCCAAGAACCAGATCTTGCAGGCTACAAGGCGTTTTATGTTTCGCCCATTACCCACAATGATTCCATTTCCACGTCTACATGCTTCACCACGGGGTAGAGTTTTGAGTTGATGAGAAAATGCCTGACATGCACTGTAAAGTCGCAGATAGGTTGGCAACCATCCACCTCTACACCCATGCTTACGAGTTACTGTATATGTGAGGATTATGTAATGATTCTGAAACATCTGCCATTCTCTGTTTTAATTTCGCGTCAAGCTCATTGTGGCTTGCATGCATCATTGCCTTCGACTCATATCATGCCCAAGCAGCGTCGTTCATATGTCCAGTATTCCTCCAATGGGATTGTCATCTTCGCCGTGACTTCCGTTGTCCCCTACCCTTGTGGTTAGGATTCGAAGGTTTGCACTGAAGTATTTTGCTGACTACGAATAGGTCTCGACGTGGACTGCTGCCCGGCGAATCAAAGATTACACGATGATTCGGCTGGTCGGCCTCCAGCAGTAGAGGCAAACCCATCCGGTTGAGTCCTCAACAAATCTGCGCATGCGGTCAGTACGGGATGCGTGCATACCAGAAATAACTGCCATTTAGCAAAGGTCCTTCCACTTATGTCAAAAGTGTTGCCAAAGTGTCGTATGGCACCCGACAATATTGACCTCGATCGACAAACTTTAGGTCTCAGTCCATGTCTCTGTCTTTCATCGAAAACGAGTACTCAAAGCCACCCCCTCATTTTATGGCGCATGAAGCTTTGAATGATGTCGTTGAGAAGGCCAACACAGTGAGAAGCTCGTACATGAATGAATAAATTTAGTGCTTTTACTTTTTTGGGGCCCCATGGGCCGTAAGCGTTCAGTCACGCTGTCATCGAGTCCGTTTCCGCGCCAAGTAAAACGAAAATTATAGATCCCAGCCTGTACCAGGTGTGTTCATTTCACTTCCAAGTTGGCCACTCTCAACATCGAAACCGAATACAAGTCCGTGATTTCACGCTGCTTCCAGTCGTTCGCAATGTCACTTCCTGGTCTAACTGGCCCAGCCAACCCGGGGAACACACCTTCTTGCAAGCTTGTTGATACGACCGCTGCTCTTTCAAGAGTGATTGACACTCTTAGTGCGGCCTCCGTCAAGCCACCATCACTCTACGTGGATCTGGAAGGTGAAAACCTCTGTCGCTCAGGCACTATATCAATCATTCAAATCTACCTTTCGACACAACAGCATGCGTACCTTGTCGATGTTCAGACGCTCGGTGCCGCTTCCTTCTCTGGGCCGGGGGCGACCGGCCAGACTTTGAAGAGCATTCTCGAGTCGCCAGACATCCCGAAAGTGGTTTTTCGACGTCAGAAACGACTCCGACGCCCTTTTCTCCCATTTCAAGATCAATCTGAAGGGAGTCGAAGATTTGCAACTCATGGAACTCGCAAGCCGGAAGTCCAACAAGAAGTTTATCCTTGAGCTGAGGAAGTGCATTAAATTTGATGCAATGCTAACCACCGGCGAACTGATGGAATGGAATCGTGTCAAAGAGCAAGGTAACAACCTCTACGCGCCTGAATCTGGAGGGAGTTATGGCGTGTTCAGCCAGCGACCTTTGTCTGCCGCCATTCTGTCGTACTGCATTCAAGACGTACAGCACCTACCTCGTCTGTGGGCGATTTACGATGGCAAGCTTACGCCAGCCTGGAGACTAAAAGTCCATGAAGCTTCACAGAGCAGGGTGCTGCAATCTCAGGCCGCTGACTACAATGGGGTGGGAAGACGCATGGCTTTGGCTCCCAAGGGATGGACGGCGTAGATCGATTGACACACACCAACTTGTAACTTATCAACGAAACAATTGACAATGGAGTTTCTATGTTTTGGTCTATCACACCAGTCCATTGCCATCATCCAAGATCCCTTTCGGACTCTGATATCCAACTAGATCAGACATCAATTGATCGCTATTCCTCTCATAACTTAGCCTGGACCCGACCTTGCGATAATCTTTGTGCGACGTCATGAGCACCTCCACCCTTGCCAAACATCTGCCTCAAATCCTTGGCCAATATTTCTGGCCTCTCATGCGCAGCAAAGTGGCCACCATCGCCATGCGTGACCGCAAGTACCACAGGTCCCAAGGTCTTCGCGTGATTAATAGGCGGGACGAACAAGTCCATTGGGAAGATGGAAACCCCAAGCTTTACCCTTGGGATCCACCCAAACTGTTCCGTGTGTGCGATAGGATGTCGCACCTCGTAGTAGATCCTCACACTAGCCTCAGGGCCCATAGTCGAGAACTGGTAGATCGAGATCCAAGTGAGAATTTCGTCGTCAGTCCATGGATATCCGTCGGTCCAATCATGAAGCTTTTCATATATCCATGCGAGAACGGCGACAGGTGAGTCGGCCAGCCCAATACCGAGGGTAGCAGGGCGGGTTTGTTGCTCAAGGTTGTAGCCGTAACCCTCCTTGGCAAACCATGTGGTCCGCTCAAGACCCTTCTTCTCCTGATCAGTATGTGGCCAGAGGCTCTTGATGTATTGCAATGGGTTCTTGAACGGCGAAGGCGGCTTGGCTTGGACCATATTGAGATGCGAGGCAAGGACGTGATCCGGATATTTGAGACCCATGAAGCGGGTAATCAAAAAGCCCCAATCTCCTCCCTGTGTCACTATCAGTGCGTTAGCAGGAACGGTTTAAGTGATGCGGAAGCGGATGGCGACTTACCATATTGCTCGTATCCGAGCTTGAGCATAACTTTGTGCATCACCTCGGCGTATTGAGGCATGCGAAATCCGGGCTTATCTGACCCCTGAGAAAAGCCGAAGTTGGGAAGTGAAGGCGTGACGACGTCGAATGAGAGACCGCTCGTCTCAGTTGTGAGGAGGGGAATGAGCTTAAGGGCCTCATAGAAGCTTCCCGGCCCTGTGCATAAGTTAGGCCTATTACCCATCGAAGGTCTGATAGGCTACGTTACTCATAGCCATGGCAAAACAGCAATGGAACGGCGCCAGGTTGGGCGCTCTTCTGCCACACAAAGTGTATGTCTAGATCTCCGAATCCGTCGACAGAGATCGTGGTCGTGTACTGCGGGATCTCATTCAACTTGGCTTCGGCTGCCCGCCAGTCAAAGCCGTTCCGCCAGTGATTCACGAGTCGTTTGATGTGAGAGACTGGCACGCCATAGTCCCAGCTATCAGTGAGCGGAATTTCTGGTGGGAATTTGGCGTTGTCGAGCTTGGCGTGCAGATTCTCGATCGCGGAATCCGGGACATTGATTTTGTAGGGCTTGATTGAGGGGTCCATCTTGGCTACGGAGCGTATTTGATCTCGAAACGGCTTTAGGTCAATGCGGGTATCAAATAGCCACGGATAGCGAAGTTCTTGCGCTTTAATGTGATGATTTGAGTGTGATTTACGTCTCTGGACTGCGGGGAAGATTCGATTGTTTTTAATGCGCTCGGTATACTTTCACCTAGGTAAACGCGCCCTTGTGAACACGCGCAGATGGCGTCACAGTACAGACGAAACCATCTTACTAATACATGCGCCAGAGCACTGAGCAGATCCCTTCCAAGCAAATAGTGTTCTTGGCGGGCGGGAATAATGAGTGATTCGTGAGGACTTGCTTCCCCGCAGGCGGCGCTCCAACTAATCAAGCCAACCAGAGTCTGACATCATGGATTTAGCTCGAGAACGCGGTAGCATCAACTCACTCATAAGGGCGCGTCTTGACATGAGTTTGCGACTCATGATGAGAAATCGAGAGAGTCTGACAAACCTAATCTTACATTTCTTGACTCTCAATGAGATTATTGTGCATCGTCCTTGGACTGAATGTATGAGATGACATACATTCACAGACATTCACGAAGTCGCTCAGAAATTTGGGCGGGGGGAAAGTACTTTTGTGAGGGTAACAGGAGACGTTACTAAGAAACTCAACATTCATCTCGAAATTGCATCATGCCGGCGACTACTTGCTAGCCCTTAGTCTATCATAGCTCACTACCGCCTCAAAAAGCGCCTGAGTACCGTTCGCGCTGTATTTCATTAGTTCTGTATTCTTGTATTCTCTGATAAATTGTGACCGGTTCACTTACCAATCTTCGGGGCTGCTGTATTCCTCGGGATGATGGCTCACTCCATCCTTGCAAGGAACGAAAATCATTGTCGTCGGGCACACCTTACTTGTGTAGACGCTGTCATGGCCGGCGCCGCTCGTAATCGGGAGCCACCCGTCAGCACCAAATAGTCCCGTTGCAGCATTCTCGACGGCACTGATGCAATCGGGATGGAACTTTGCTGCAGGCGAGTCCGTGTCGAGAGTCCATTCTACCTGAACCCCCCTACCATCCGCCTTGGCGATGGTACTGAACGACTCGAGTACGCGGTTTTGCACATCGTCGACGACACTATCTTCCGGGTGCCGAATGTCTAGGGTGAAGGTGACCTGAGACGGGATCGTGTTGGTGGATGAGCTGGGAGGGATCTTAACAACGCCAGTAGAGGCCAAGGCACCGAGCTCTTTCGCGATGGCGTTAGAGCTCGCAATCATCTTGGACGCGGCGAGAAGAGGGTCCGATCGAGATTTGAGGGGCGTTGTGCCGGTATGCGCGTCGCGACCCTTGATCGTGAAGGTGAACCAGCGATATGCCTGTGCGCCCTGCACAACACCAATTTTCCTGCTGTTCTCTTCGAGAATGGGACCCTGCTCAATGTGAAGCTCAAAATGCGCACCGAGGGGGTAGCCTTGGCTGGAGCAGGCAATGGGACCGATGTAGCCGTGGCGGGCAAGCTCGGATTTGACTGTGACGGATGGATCGAAGATATCGCCCATGGCCCAGGCCTTTTCAAGAGGAACCTTACCGGCCCAAACACCTGACGCCATCATCGACATGGGAAACCGGGCTCCTTCCTCGCTGGTTTCAGTCAGCTATGATAACCCTGATAAACAGTCATCTAGCAGACTCACTTTGTCCAGTTGACAATGCCAACATCATATTGTGTCTTGTATCCGTTCTCCTTCAGGGTTCGCATCACTTCAATTGCTGACATGATACCCAAGATCCCGTCGTATCGCCCACCTCTTGGCTGGGTATCAAGGTGACTTCCCATGGCGGTCATCGGGCTCGTCGAATTGAGAGAACCCTTCTTCTTCGCAAACATATTGCCCATCTCATCGACGGTGAGATCGCAGCCGAGGTTTCCTGTCACTTCGTCGGCAAACCAGCGTCTAACCTTAGCGTCATCGTCAGACAGGGCAAGGCGAGCCATGCCAGTTTCTGTCGCACCTCTAACATTTGACAAGTTTGTGAGCAGCTGCCAGAAAGAGGAAGGATAAGTAGGTTTATAGAAACATAATCATACTTACTTGCCATATCTATGCGCAGCTCCCCATTGACACGTGTGGTGAAGGGTCTCTTGTAGTCGGTCGGCATTGATCTTCAATCCTGATAACGAAGCCCTGGCCGAGGAGTATGACCTCACTTGGCCGGAGATGGATGAGAACAGTTTTGTCCGTTGCATCATTTCTCGATGGTTGCATGTGTGTATCAACCGCCGAAAATCAATTCAAGAAGATGTTGGTGAAGATGATGGTTACAATTGAGCTGTCCCCGATTGGCAGACGCAGCCAAGTTGATGTAGGCGCGGGGAAAGGGGCGGGGTGAGATCGGCCGAATGCCCCGGTGGATCGCCAAAGGGCGCCGCCCCGTAAAAGGTGTTCATAAACTGTCAATCGCGCCCAGCAGTTTCTGTCAAACCACCCATCATCAACGCCTTACAGAAAGTTCTACCAGCGCCATATGTCACTCCAAAATTTCGTTCACTGAGAAACCAATGCCATTACGCAATTTCTTACGCTTTTTGTTCACTATTTAGATGAGTAAAGTAATCGCTGGGGGATTGCTGCTGTGTTCAAGCGTACAATCATTGACCTAGCTCCATCACGGTGGTGCTGTCGGACTGAGTGTCCGCCTTCCCTCCACCAATTTGACACTCTCTTGGAATCTTCCAGCCATACTTCTCGTGTCGTTCCCTGGAATTCCTGGTATCGCAGTGGCAGAAGATAATACCCGCGCTCCTGTCTGAGCAGCAAAGGTCTTTGCTCCGGTGTATACCGTCGGCCCAGGGATCTTGTACGGAGGAAGCGGGCTCTGTGAGATGTCGTACACCAATCCTTCCTCCGCTGGCTGGTAGAGTCTTGTGCCTAGCGTTCCGGTCGGCCGATCTCCTCCTCCGCCGGTCACTTGGATATTAATACACTGCGGATAATGCTGAGCTCCCTGACCAGGATACCTCGCGAAATGCAGCGCCACAATCTCGTGGCGAAGAACGTAATATCCTGGCGCTATCTTGGGTGGGATCTGAACCACCCAGCTGGCGTTATTCTGTATAAGGACGTCGCTTGCCCAGATTCCTCTGGCGGTTGCGAAGTCGGTCGCGTTCTTGTTAGGGTCAATCAGACCGACCTTGTCGATGGCGAAGAAACTCAACGCTGTCTTCTCCACTGTTTCGCAGGATCCTCTTTCAGAACCGCAGTATGCGAGATGTGTTACCACAGGACCGTGGTGAGATTCTGGCCAGCCTTGCCACTGGAAGGCAATCGTGTCGCCCGCTGCTACCGGTGCATGGCCTGCAGGGTTGGTTGCGTTCCGGTGGCACACGATGTTGGGCCCGCCGTAGCTCTCGGTGCTGACCCAGCCATCATCATTCACTGTTGTGCTCCATGCTGCTAGAAGTTTGGGATTGTTCGGGGCTTTGGCGTTGTAACCATTGTACGAGGCGCCATCGATAACGAAATTCGTGATGCGACTGTGGGCCGCCACCGATGTGAAGAGCGCCGCTGCCGTAAAGGCGACTCTAGGTAACATGATTCCTCGAAGGTGCAACAAATCTTCTGAAATTCGTCTTAGATGTAGACGCATAGTAAGAAGACGTTGTCGAGCCGTGCCCTCGATCAAATACATCAAACCTCGGAGGGAAACACGACGCCACTTTGGCAAAGATCGTCATAGCAACTTACTTGATGCGAACGTGACCTATTTGAACCAATTCAGGAGCTTTTGTGGGGCCGTTTCTGACCAGATCGGTGAGAAGAATCAGCAGAATAGAGTGCATCAACGGGATTCAACCAGGATGTCGCATCGTTTAAATGAAGCAGTCAGCCCGCCAAATTCTTGCTTTTTCCTCTCTGAACTGGTAGGCGGGGATCCAGCTGTGCAATGAGACTGAACAAGCAAAACATCAAGCCTGGTACGGATGCACGGCTAAGTCCTTGAATCTCGGAGGATCGTGAATTGCTACCTCTTCGGGTGATTTTGGTCAGTCGATCTCGTAAGATCGGCACTCGGCCGGGTTGATTCCCCCGCAGTTTCTCATTCTGCCGACCGGATGTGACCTTAATCTACTTGAGAGGTGCCGAGAGCAATCCCGTCATAAGGAATTCTTCCAGCGAGGCAATTTGGAGACGGGCAGCCATTCCGCTTTTATGTTTCGGCCGCGACGTAAACTGCGGAAGCTATCAAGCCCAGAGAACATCAGACATTAACGGGCAGGAGACATGGAGAAGTCAAAACATCAACGTTAGGAGCAATATGATTTTTGAGAAGGATCCAGAGACCCGGCCGCCGTCTCTGAGAACCGTGACAGTGGGAATAGCTCCATCGATAGCCGATGGGGCATCTATCAACCAATGAGATGGGCGAATGGTTTAGTGGTATAATACTCGCTTAGCATGTGAGTGGTCCAGGGTTCGATTCCCTGTTCGTCCACTTCTTTTGCCTTCCTTAGGTTAGCGGTGTTTTTGTTTTTGGTTCTGGACCATCTTTTGCCAATTCTTAGCACACTCTGACATTTCCGTGTTGCGTTCCGCAGTTTGGATGGTGAAAACTTGTCGCGTGCCTATTTCCCCCTTTCAGAATAAAAATGCCATCTCAGCGTTGCGGCGCTTTCCAACCCCACTGGCGCAGCCGCAACTAGTGTTCAGCTGAACAACACGGTATTTCCGCAAAGCATTCCGTGAAGGACCCGGCCTTCCACAATGTCTCAAATCGGAAATCCCACAGCCCGGCGCGGAGACTAATCGCCCAGCTGAACGCTACAAACCGGGGTCGTGGGACCTGGCGCCTTGAAAACGTCCATGCCCGCCGTGACAACAAGGCCTCGAGCACCTTAGTTGTTTAGACTACAGTTAGACTTGCCTTGTCTTGGACAGCTCCAAGGACGGGAATTTTTTATGCTGAACGAAATACCATCATTCTTGCTATGCCCAGCAGTAGACCAAAATGAAGTGCAAGGCGCTCGGGCCAATTCTGGTTTAAGCATCGTGATGATCCACAGGCCCCATTCAAGATTCTCAGAGCCCACCAGACGAGGGCTTCAACCCGCTTCTCCTGTCCCACATCTACACTTTTACGGGCGAGATGTCCAACAAGGAAGCAATTCAACTTCACTGGTCTATTAGTCTAGTTGGTTAGGACGTCGGATTCTGATCTAACAATCAGTCCCTTCCGTAAGCCCAGGTTCGAATCCTGGATGGACCTTTCTTTTGCCTCTCGCTCCTGACAGAGGGCTGAACATGAGTTATTTTTGCTTTTATTCGCTACTTGTATCAACCGTCTCTGGCATACTCTATCATCTCGTGGGTAGACTCTTCATGTCCTCTCTTGGGAATGTTTCATTAACGAGCTACTGCTTGCTGTTTTTTCACGTTCCACTCTCCGCCTTTAGTGTTCATATCTAGTTAGCGATTATGAAAGGTCGTTCATGAAAGGAAACCAGCAGAATGAGAACCTAATTTCAGCTGCGGCTCCCCGGCACGGGGCGTCGGTAGTCCATAGTGAACCCGTCCTAGTGTCATTTTCCCCATACGCCACACTGCACCAGAGACAATGAGATTGTGCGCCAGACCCGAGTTTCCGGTTTTGAGAATGCTACTGGTGCATCTTTGTCTGCAACTCAGTAATCATAGGTCGCTTGCAAGGCACGCTTTGTCTGGCAGCAAGGATTGTAAGTAGCTTGTGGCCTGGCGACGACGCGGTAACGCCCGCAAAGCCATTGGCCGAGTTGCTGCTTGCGCATGCCGTTGTCTTGCGCTCTCGGAATGAAAACTCTTCCTTGAAAGCCACGAAGACCGAGCGGAGGGGATAAGTACTCCTCGGGAGGTTGGCCGTAATCGAAGTCTCTTCATCTTCAGCGACATTCGGTCTTGTCCTGTTTTGCTCCATGTCAAATTGAAGATCATGATCTCTCAAATCACGATGCAAACGGACATTGAGAAAGGGTCAAGGCCGTCTCCTTCCCGGAACAGTTCCCTCTCGACGCTGTGCGGTGACGATGTCAGCAGCAAGGCCCCGACTATTTGCGGCCGGGAATCGCCGATATCACAAGATCCGAGTCAGGACAAGCATCATTCAGAGCCCGAGTCCCTTTTGGTGGGTTGGCCTAATCATTTTGACAGATTTCTTGGCTAACGTTATGATCAGGTCTCTTGGGATGGACCACATGACCCAGAGAACCCCAAGAACTGGGACAGAAGGCAGAAATGGACAGTGGGTTACCTCAAAGCTTCTGATGCGTCCATCCAATATCTGACTTTCGAACAGATGTCCCTGGTTATCTCGGCATTTGCATTCCTTTCGCCCCTATCCTCCTCCATTGCCGCCCCAGCTTTGGGTCCGATTGGACACGATCTTCATATAGACAACCAAGCCCAGCTCCAACTCGTTCTGTCGATCTTTCTTCTCACCTACGCACTCGGCCCATTCATACTGTCACCTTGCTCAGAAATATGGGGTCGTACACCGATAGTCAGAGTTGGGAACACGATCTTCATACTGTTCACCACTCTCTGCGGCTTTGCAACATCGAAAGGGCAAATTATTGCTTTTCGGTTTTTAGCCGGGATTGGAGGAAGTGCAACCACAGGGGTTAGTCTCGTACAACCCTTCAACAGGTGATTTCAGCTAATGGTCGGGGCAAGATGGGAAGCGGCGTCTTGACAGACTGCTGGCGTCCAGAAGAGCGCGGAAAGGGAATAGCCATGATGCAATTTGCACCAGTCATTGGCCCTGCACTAGGTCCCATTGGTGCGTCGTCCCCATTTCATTGTCTATTTTCAATCATTGATGCTAACCTTGTTCCAGTTGGTGGCTACATCTCGCAATACGCCACCTGGCGCTGGGCATTCTGGACAGTCGTCATCTTCAACGTCGCAGTCCAGGCTGTGGCATTCTTCCTGTTGAGAGAAACATATGCACCTCGCCTTCTTGTGCTAAAAGCCAGGAAGCTCCGCAAGGAGTCGTGTAATCCAGAGTTCAAGACTGCCTGGGAACGAGAGCAACGCACTCTGACGAAGATTCTTCGAGTCAGCTTGTCGAGGCCCTGGGTGATGCTTGCAACTCAGCCCATCATTCAAAGTCTAGCAATTCTCCAGGCTTTCAACTTTGGCTTGCTCTATCTCGTAATCTCCGGATTTCCTACTCTTTGGGAAGAGCACTACGGGATGTCAAAAGGCAGAGCAAGTTTGAACTACATCTCGATCGCCGTCGGTTCCCTGATTGGGGTTTTAATCTGCGCCCCTACCATGGACGCAGTCTACCGACGGCTTAAGACGAAATCCGGGATCGGGATGGAGGAGCAAGGGAGCCCCGAATTTCGCATTCCCTTGATGATTCCTAGTTCAGTAATCACGCCTGCTGGGATGCTGTTATTCGCATGGTCCGCACAGAACAGAATGCATTTTCTCATTCCAAACGTAAGCCTCTTCAGAGTCAGAAATTCTTTACGGGGACAACATCCTGACCCAGAACCAATAGATTGGCATTGCGATAACGATGGGAAGCACCATGATATCGTACCAATGCATCTCGGCCTACATAGCCGACTCTTATCCGCAGTACACCGCTTCTGCTTCAGCTGCATGTTGTTTCATGCGGTCCATGTTCGCTTTCGTGTTTCCGCTGTTTGTTCCAGCGCTCTTCGGAAAACTGGGATATGGACTTGGCGGAAGTCTGTTGGCTGGTATCGCGGTCGTCATTGGGATCCCGGCACCGATCTTACTCTGGGTATTTGGCGCAAGGCTACGGGGTATGAGTCGGTTCAGCATACGGGAATAAAACGGAAAAAGAATTGGAACGATAAAGGCGGTCTGTCGAGTACGTTCCGTTTTGTTATACAAGGTGAAAAGTTTCCAACACATCGGGGCGTTAGGGCTTACGCTGTCAAGCTAGGTTTGCATATGCGGCTGTATGTTGTCTTGTGACCGTTCTCATTGGCTTTCACGATTTCATCCCAAATTGCATTTCTTAGCTTTCCGGATATCTACTTGATCACACGTGGAAAACACATCTTTGGCAGACGTGCCGCAGATTAAAAGCAGCCGCATCGATCCTTCCGACTTCTCAATCAGGCCATCCAAGCGCCAACTGATTGACCTTAACTTGTATGGAGTCTTGCGTCAGGGTCCTGGTTCCCTTCTCCAACGGGATCTGAATTCCTGCACAAGCATTCCCCAGGCTGTCTTTGGTGTCGTCCGACGGGTCCGGGTTTGAAATGTTTTGGAAGCTAGGGAACGAGTAAGGTTCCCCCGGAAATTGAACACATCGGAACACACTCCGACCAATCAATGCCTTGTCAAAGCATTGCCCGTATACACAAGCCAGTCTTCGTTAAGGTTTGATTAACAGCGGCTTGTGCTTCAGCAGCCTTCCACAGTTGCGAACAGCCAGTAGGAGTTAGTGATCAACTCCGAACAGAAATGCGCGTGGAGCAACCCGCTTGTGCTGGAAGAGAAGTGTCGGATTATCCCATAGCAGAAGACTTAGAACTGTATATAAGACCGCACGTTTTCCGAGAGTTTGTGACGCAGACCCAAAAACTACAACTGTCGCTCAGACTCTACAGGTCTTCAGAAATTATTCTGCCCGGTTGATCACTACCCGCGAGTCGTCAGGCACGGCGCATCGTTTAAACTTTAAGCATATTCACCCCCACCAGAAGCTACATCAACCACCGTACAGAATGCAACTTACCAAGACCCTGCTCGCTCTCGTATCCGTCTTGGCACTAGCTGGTTCGTCATATCTACGTAACAATTACGCGGTTGTGTGACGGGAATTGCTAACTTTTGTTCCGTTTCTCGTAGAGGCGAAAGCGTGCCAGTTCGGCACCTGCCAAGGCCGGTTCGGCGCATGCTGCGACCAATTTGGGGGATGTACAGTCCTTTCGAACGAATGTCCTTGAAAGGATGGTATTGGCGATCACTCGATAAGTCACGCAATCACGAAGACTTTCTGGCAAGGAAATGGAGGAGCACGAGAAATCGCTCAACTCGTTCGGGCACATCAGGTCTCAGTAGAGGAAACCATTACACTCGCTGCCAAGACCACCTTCCTTTGGGCATTGATGGGAAAACGCACACAATCCCTGCAGACACTGCTGCCAAGAGCACATCGATAATATGCCCAGATAACTATCAACGTCTCTCCTCTCGCGCGTTCTATTCCGCTGCTTGTATTGGAACAATGCATTCTCCGATGGTTGTTGAATACGTTTTTATTGAAGTCCTGCTAATCAACATGCTCACATGGTTAAGGTTCTTGTTTGCCATGTTTTTCTGAACGGGACGAACGGGAATCTGGTTTCGCGTGTGTCGATCGTCGCCGGATTAGACGGTTTAGAGGTGCCGTTTTAGATACGTTTTCTGTCAGCTGTCGTAATTTCGGTAATGGTGGTCGAATAATGGCGGAGACCGCAGGGTTTGCGGGTGGTGTCCGTTGTAATTTCATCATCACACCATCACGTCCCCCCTGCTATCCTCAGTGGTCATCCAGGGCGCAGGAACTCTCGTTACAATTATTTTACTCATTGATATGTTTCATGTCCTACGTAGTGGCGCCCTAGACTCCGTGTATGCCCCTGTCCAAAACCCCGGTTTTGATATTGCCATGTGCGTTTGGTATCATTCCGTAAAACCACGTAACCACGTAACCCCGAACAGTCTAAAATGGCGATAATTACGATTGCTTAGATCCCCTTTTCTCCTCCCTGACTCTGGAGTGCCTGGACGCTTGTTCCTCCGGCTCCTCAAGGTCGTCGTCGTGTTGATCTTCCAATGATACGCGTTCTCCGTGATCCATCGAGTGTCGGTCGTTCAGTTCCAAGTCTTCGCCTCCTTGGAGGTTATCGCCTTCCGCTGAATGTAGACCTATCGTCGTCGGTGTGTGTGTCCTCCTCTGCTCCCAAGTTTTGTTCGTGCTGTTTCCATCGGGATCAAGCGGCATACTCGGGTCTTCTTCTGGTCGTAATGTCGCGTGTGATACGCGTGAAGGTCGTGTGAGAGTGCGAAGAGTAGACTCTTGGCCAGGTGACGTGATCCAGTTCATGACAAGAGCCGAGAAAAAGACTATTCAGTGACATGTTAGCATACTTTGACGAGAATCAAATTAGGGTCGATCTTACTGTCGGTGTTGCAACATAATAAACACAACCACGCAACCTCTCCATTGAGTGCGCCCAAGACCGCTAGATTCCTGTTCCTTCAGGTCAGTGAATAGCCCACGTCAACTCGAGACAATGACGTACGTGACACTGCTTAGGAGTGTACAGCATGAACCGATGAAAGTACGGATCACAAGACGTCGAAGCCTAATATTCGGTGGCGCTCGGGGGACCCGGCGGTTTCTCCAATCCAAGGTCCACGGTTTCCAGAAGTTATACTTGACGGAATGAAGGCCTATCGTCGATTTAGTCATGTTAATGATGGACTTGAGCTTCTGAGCACTTACTTAGTAGTGGGAGTAGAAACATGATAGTAAGGTAAACCTGGTAGATGTCAGAGCCCATTCACATGGAGTTGAGTCAGAACGAAGCTCACGTTGACAGCAGCATCAAAGGATATCAAGGCCAAAATTACATTTTGGCCCAGTCCAATTATGCATATTCCGTCAATGTAATTCGTTATTCGGAAGATGAAGTTCAATATCACGATGAGGACGAAGACCCCTGTGTCGCGTGTTAGCCATGACACTTAGTGACTCCCACATGAACCATACCAAGCATGCCGAAAGAGTTGAATATGTAGAGCTTGGACTTCATTCGGGGTTTTGATGTCTGTCTGATGATGTGCTGTTGTCATTGTTAGTTGAATACCTTGGGAGGACCATCTGTAGGTCAACCACTTACTGCCCGATCTACCATGAACAGGTATATGAACTATGGAGTCACATGTCAGTCTTCAATTTGTTGATTACACAGACACGTGCATCACCGCTTACCAGCTGCAAAAACGGTCAGTAAGAATTATTTTGACGTATCTAGGACTTGGACTGACCTTTGTCGACACATAGGCGCCGAGGCAAAAGAGCGTCGCTGCTGAACATGCTGCAAAGGTCATGTCGGTTCCGAATCCGAACTGTAGAATTGACGTCCCGAAGACGAAAAGAAAAGAGAAAACATATATGCAGATTACGACTGGAAAACTGTCAGGGTCGTCTCAATGTCGAGTAGTGGAATGCCCTTACGCCACATTGTGTACGGTAACACCCTCCAATCCTTCACGGTCGATACTCGCATAGCTGTAATTGTCGTCAGAACTATTACTCGAGGTTTTGCGGAGTTCCTGCCATTCCAATGTCGTTTCGCATCAGATTTACTGACCAAATAAACTTGCAAGCGTGCATGCCGAGATCAAGGCGACAATGATGCTCATGACTTTTCCCGCGAGTGGCTGCGGCCCATGATTGATACCACGGATCGCCACATCTTCCCTAACCTCCAACGATATCATGGCTCCAGCTTTCCCTGCTGCGTTCTGCCAGCGGCTTGTTATGTTGACCCCATCAAGATAATCCCTCTCTATATGTCGACCCGGAAGAGCCGACCCAACGCGCCGATGTGGGTATTGACGATCGGTAAATACGGGGGCGGAGACGACGGGGGCCCGCGATGGTGTTTCGACGACCTTAACGATGATTCTCAGGGTCGACTGACGACAAACGTATTGCCCAGTGTGCGGCGAAATGGAAGCGTGCGACTAAAGAGGGGGAGCTGGGGGGTAATGGGGATAGATGGGAAACTTTGAAACGGAGAAAGACGAGGAAGGGCTCCCTTGGGAAACTCTGCTGGGGAAGCTTGGGGATGGAGTCGATCGGAACTCCCTCATGTACCTCATGTAGGGACTTTTTTCTTTCGTCCGCACGGCACTCGTAGGCCGTGCCACACGTGGGATCGGTGTTTGTGCGGGAATGTCCAAGCGGTGCGATGAGGAAATACGGTCAACTCTCCCAGCGAATAGACTTTTTGGTCAAACGCACCATGCAACGGTATGATGGCGGCCTTCGAGCGACCCTGACTCGCGTGTCTGCGAGCTTTCCGCCTCTTTAACGTCGCGCACGGCTGTTACGCTGCCGGTCTGCTTCATCATGTCACGCCTCGCCCAGACTATTTGACTTTTGAGCAAATGAAAAAATTGAATCTCCGGTTCTAGCGGATGGCGGATGGAGGTGGGAGGCGAACGGCGTAAGCCACGTGACGACGCCACAGGGTCTGATCATCTTTGGAATCTTTCGGATCCAGATCCCTCGTTATTCTAGATCAACCTTGCCACGGATAGTTGGGCAAACACTTCGTGGTCCCTTGAGGTAAGACACCGCGTCTAGGGCCGATCTTCTTCCGATAATTTTAAGGTTGGTGGTTCTTGACATGACCAGCCAGCGGTCCCGACATCCGTCGGCTTTGCCCGAAGGCTTGGCTTCCTGGGGCTGGTCTCTGGGGCATTTCAGGAGGCGGTGTTGCGACGCCAGATGTGTGATTTGAGCGGAATCTCACCCTGACGATGCTTGCATCTGGGGTTTTTGGCAGCTTGAGTTAATAATATCGCGAAAATATCATCATGGGCCTGGACTACTCCGCGATTGACTTGTATTTAAAGTCATGATGATCGCCGCTAATAACGAACCCTTTCGAGTGACACTCGCCAGTTCTTTTCTGCTTTCTGTTCTTGAAAAATCCAAAACCTTACCGAAGCGTCGATCGCTCGTTTAATTCACTCTTTTAAAACTCGCTCCTTCACCTTCACTGCAATCAAAATGCGTGCTTCGGTCGCCGTTGTTGCCTCCCTTCTCTCCTTCGTTGTTAGCGTCTCCGGGTAAGCACTCTTCCAGTCTCCATCTCCAAAGGGGCTTGTCAAGTCATCAACGAAGATCGTGTTTGTGCGCGCACGTGGCTAATCTCTTTGACACCGCACAGACAAGGCGAATTCCAGACAGTCTTTTGTCAAACCATTGACGGCAAACACGCAGCCAGTAACAATTTCTGCTAAGCTGTTGGAGGCGCTGTTCTGCCATCTCCTGGGGTAAGTCATTGCTCTTTGTTGTTGATGTGGCTGAATCAACGTAATTGCGGTCGAGTCTAAAAGCCCCTAGTTCTGCTGCCTTCGCTCGAGCGACTTTGACAAGTTCGTAGCTCTCTCAAAGGGCTGTGCAGACAATGGCTTGGTGCTAGGAAAGAACGACGCCCCTTGCTCTCCGTAGACATACCGGCTTGTTTCAGAAAAACCCATATACCTACCATGACCTGCAGACGCTTGTAATCAAGAGCATTCTATGACTCCTTAGTTACTATCATGATAATAATGAGTGATTAAACTGCCAGTACAACATGCGACATGAGTCGTGCAAGTCTTTAAACCCGTAGAGCTCAATCAATACAGACAGGGTCCACTGAATAGAATTTGAAGCGGTTTGCAACGCGGTTTGAGACCTCCGTTGCTGTGGACCTCCATGGTCAATTGTCTCAGATTGTCCCAGCCGCTCGTCACCTGCTTCTAACCGAGGCTGCCAACAGCTGGCGATACCACGGAACATGGACTGGGGTTCGTCCCGTCATGCCCGGCAAGGGTAGGCCATTCGGAATCGTCCTGATGTCGAACCAGAGACGCGGGAATATTTTCGCTGTGAAAATAAGTGTACGCAGGCAACTTTATGCAGCTTCCGCCTTGCTTTGCGCCTTGCCGTCGCCATGTGGAAGCCATGTGCAAACAATGTTAGATCCTAGTCATGAGCACATTGTGGTCGACAAATCAAAATGTCGCGAAAACACAGAACAAAAGGTTACACTCCCTATTTAACTCAAAGCTGATGTACTAGCCCCGGGGATCAGACACTGTCCCTCTCTATCCTTGTACTCTTCAATCTTGCTAACTTCCGCGCAACAGTCTGGGGTAACGCGCTTCATCGCCTCTCTCAACCACGGCTTCCAAGAAAGCAGCCAACACAGCGCTCATACCCTTCTCCTCGGCCTCGGTAGCCCAATCAACCATACTCAGACTTTTAAAAGAATGACCCAAACGAGCTTCCATGTAACTCTGGAACTCATGAACCGGCACCACGTTGCCTTCAGTGTGGTGGATAATTCTGGTTGCGCCGTAGGAGACTCCAAAATTGTCATTCGTCAGTGATTGAAGAATCGCTCCCGCCGTTGTCGGCAACTTGCACATGTCCAGGAAGCCAGAAAACGTAGCCAAAGATGGGACTGCTTTGAGGATGGCTGAGTACTTGTGGATCATGTTGACCGCGTCCATCTCATCAGCGTCCTCGGACATGAGGTAGCCCGCGCGATGAATCGATACAGATAACCCGGTTGCGGCCGCACACTTCTCGAGATACGTCTCGCTCGCCCATTTTGTTGAGGTGAATCCCTCTCTGCCAAGAGCAGCTGGGGGATAATGCACTGAAATGGGCCGCTCGGGGTACGTGTTGCCTCCGCTGAACAGGATGACGCGGGGGCTGGAAATGTAGTGGAATGGCACCTTCCTGGCCAATGCCAGATTTGCCAGAAACTTTGTTGACTCTACATTTTGAACACGAATGGAGTCATAGTTGTTCAGGCAAGAGCCCTCGGCTCCGGCGTGGATTATGATGTCCACGTCTTTTTGCAAGGTTTGTTGCGCATCACCCGAGAGACCAAGGGTAGGATCCGCAAGACTTCCGATGTAAATCACGAGTTTGTCGCTTGCCGGAAGCTGGGGTACTTGTTCCTGACTAATGGCGATGCAGTAAACTCTGTCAACGGACGGGTCTTCGAGAAGGAGTTTCAGGAGCCATGATCCCAGTCCCTTAGCTGCGCCCGTCAGAATGGCGGTTTTGTTTTCCTTCGGGACCACGTGAGATGGAGCAGCGCTTGCTCCCTCAATGGCTGCATGACTTACAAAACGAGTCTGTTCATCCCAGAATTCCCAATCAATGCCGTCATTTTTAGATTCTTTGGCGCCCCGAATCATGGCTGCCATTGATCGCAAAGTGCTTGCTTCAAACAACTGTAGAAGAGGCACAGAAATCTGCCACTGCTTCTGTACCTTCTTTCTCAAGTTGACCAACAGCAGGGAGTTTCCTCCGAGACGGAAGAAGTCGGAGTTGAGAAGAATCCCAGTTGATTGGGAGATGGTGTCTGGAAGAATCTGTTCCCAAACCTGACGCAGGTCACGCTCGAGTGGAGTGAGCGTTTCTTGGCTGCTTTCCTCAGCCTGAGCTGGGATCGGTATCTCATTCAAAGCAACCCGGTCCAACTTGCCATTGTGGGTCATGGGAAGCTGTTGAAGAGGAATGATGATAGAAGGCCGCATATAATCCGGAAGAGGGAGGCTTGCCGGGAGTGATCGGAGATACTCCTGGGTGTCTTTGATTTGAGCGGCAGTTGCAATCACGGCAAAGGCAACCAAGGTCTTGTCTTCTCCGCGCACGGTGACAACAGCTTCCGCGAGCTTTCCGTTCGCAGTCTTGAGAATGTTGGACGCAACATCCTCAAGCTCGATGCGGATTCCTCTGATCTTGACTTGGCTGTCGCCACTGATGCGGCCGAGAATGACGAGCGAGCCATCGGGCTTCAAATAGCCGGAATCGCCGGTGCGGTACATCATCTTCCAGTCATTTCCTTGGTCCTCTGCAGTAGCGAAAGGATCCGAAACGAAAGCCTTGTTGGTGAGCTCCTGGCGGCGAAGGTATCCCTGACTGACGCCTGCACCTCCGATGCATACTTCTCCGGCGCAACCCTCCGGTACGAGGTCCATTCTGTCGTCGACGACGTATATCGAGACATTGTCCAGGGCAGGGCCCGCAGGCACGAAGTCCAAGCCGTCTTCCAAGTACTTGACGCGCTCCACCGTGGCGAAGATGCACGTCTCTGTCGGTCCGTAAACGTTGAAAACTTTCGCGCCTGGTGGCATCGCCTGCCTAAACTGGGCCGCCAGCTGGGGTGTGAAAATCTCGCCTCCTACGGCCACGGTCCGGAACTTTTCGCAAGTCTTGAGTACGTCCGAAGCGTGTTGGAAGATGTGCTTGAACTCGACAGGTGTTCCAGCCATTAACGTCACCTTTTCGCTCTTGATGAGATCGACGATGGCTGATGGGTCTCTGCGTTGGTCTTTGGAAGCCATGACCAAGGTGCCTGCGTTCGAGAAAGCAGTGAAAATCTCGAACGGACAAAGATCGAAGCTGACGCCGGTCTGCTGAAGAATCACCTCTTCCTTTGGTCGGACTTGAAGCCTGCGCGAAGACGCCTCAATCAAGTTGACGTAGTTTCTGTGCTTCAAAATGGCTCCCTTGGGGACTCCGGTCGTTCCGCTTGTGTAGAAAAGTACGGCTGCCGCTTGAGCATCGGATGAATTACGAACTTCGTGGTCTCCAGCTCGAGGCAGAATCGAAGCGACATCCAAGGTCGAGGTACCACGGCAGGAATCGGCTAATAGTTGGGCGAGATCGGAAGTCGCTTTATCGTGGAGGACCGCCTGTGGCTTGCAGTCTCCCACAATTGAAGCCAACCTCTCTTGGTGATTTGTGGTATCGAGGGAGACAACGATGGCTCCAACCTTCAAGACCGCGAGGTATGCAAACACATATTCGGCCGACGGCTCTATCAACAGACAACAGAAAGGCTCGGCGCTTCTAGGAACCCCAAGAGCTCTCAGGGATGCGGCCATGTTGTTGACTTCCTGCATCATCTCTCGATAAGTAAAAACCTTTTCTCCGTCCTTGATGGCAACGAGATCCGGATGACGCTCGGCGACTTCGTCGATTCGATGAGAAATAGTGCCTGACCATTCAATGTTGAATCGGCGGCCTCTTCCTGTCAACCCCTGGCTATCTGACTCGCCCACAGCTTTCAACATGGAAGACCTATGCATGGGAAGCGCAACAACCTTAGACCGTGGAGCCGCACAAGCAGACTCTAGCAAGCAGCGATAACAGTCCAGAATTGATTGCGCAGCCTCCTTCGAATACAGCGCATCTTGAACGGCGAAATGGAGGAGACAAGTTTCGTCTGGTGTGTCCGTGATATTGACTCCCAGATCATACGGGTTGCCTGAACTCTGAGATTGGACATACTTGAGCGCAGCATCACCGATGGAGTTCAATCCCAAGATTCCAAGTCGGTAGTTGATGATGACCTGGAAGATTGGGCTGTGTCGCGCCGTGCGCGGAACTTGGAGTTCATCCAGCAAGGCGTCGAGGGGGATTGTGGAGTTAGTGAGGGACGCGAGGATTTTCGAAGACGCCTTCTTGCAAAGAGTCTCGAAGCTTTCGGTCTCCCCCACGTTGACTCTAACGGGGACGATATTGATGAAGCATCCGGCAGTCTGAGAGAACTCAGTGCCCGACCTTCCAGTATCAACGGTGCCAATGCAGAAGTCATTGGTCTGCGAAAGGCGAGACACCATTGATGCGAGGACGGCAAAGTGGAAATGGAACGGTGTCACATGAAGTCGGCTGCTGGCTTGCTTGATTTGAGATACCAGGGCTTTCGGCAACACTGTATCAACGATGGTGGTGGCGTACTGGTTCGTTGCCTTCCGAGTCTTTGTGTGCGACATGGGGAAGAGAGGCAGGGCATCGGGAAGGCCTGCAAGCTTATCCTTCCAGAATTGGGTCTCCTTGGCACAGTTTCCCTGCTCTACCATAGACCTCTGCTTAACTGCGAAGTCAACGTACTGTGGAATGGTGGGCAGAGACTTCCCTTCATAGGCTCGTGCCAGATCTTTGAGGAGAAGAATCCATGTAACGCCATCAATAGCTATGTGGTGACTGGAGAGGATGAGAGTGTGTCGGTCGCTTGCATGTCGGAGGACAGTCAATCCCAAGCATACACCTTCTTCGAGATCCCACTGCCGTGATTTCATTTCCTGGTACTCTTGTGCAGTTGTTGCATCCGTTGCGTCGTCCATAAATTTGAAGGGGCATGCTGACGTGGCTGTCACAGCTTGCATCGGCAAACCAGTAGCTGAGTCCGTGTAGAAGTATGTGCGCAAGATCTCGTGATGCCAGGTCACCTGCCGGAATGCATTCTTCAATTGATCGACGTCCAAAGGCCCTCTGAGCTCGTACATGGATGTCTCGTTGTACGTTGTTGGATCTTCCAGGAACCCTTGAAGAAACCACAGCCGGGCTTGTGCGAAAGACATCTGTGCTCTTCGGTGAACGACTCGCTGAATCTTGCGCTCCTTGAAGTAGCCATCTGCCTGCTCGTCCCTGCTTTCACTGCCGACGGATGTCATCGGAGTCGGCGGTGATGCGTCCGGTGTGCCTGGCGTTGTCCTGTTGTCTGGCGTGATCGGCGTCGATGCGCCATCCACTTCGAGAACCGGTACGCTTAGCTGAGTAGTCTTGGTTTCAGGCTTGGTCTCGGCTTCTGGGGCCTCCTTCTTGGTTTGAATGCTGCTTTTGCTGGCGAAGATGGGGGCGGAAGCTGCTTTGCAGATTGAATCTCCAGAAGCACCACTCAAGATCTGAAGAACGCTGACTTCGGCGCCGACAACCTTTCGGAACCAAGTCTGCACTTCCATTGCAAGAAGCGAGTCCAGGCCAAGACTGACGAGAGGCAAGTCCATCTTTGCACTTCCTTGAGGGAGTTGCAGAAGACTCTCCAGTCTCTGGGCGAAAGCCTCTCGAACCTTGGTGAAGACAGTCTCCTCGTCGGTGGCCGCGTCTAGGGCGGCCCGGAGATCTTCAAGAACCGAGATGCCAATGTTTTCGGTCGCGGAGTCCCGCTTATCTTTTACATAGAAACCGAATCGGGGTTCGTTGGCCCAGAACGGTCGCACGGCTTCATTATCGCTGATTGCCAGGCCGGCAATGAGCTCGCTATGCGAAGAAAATCCCGGCCGGCCGGCAAGAATACCCTCTGCAAACATGACATGGACCTCAGCTTCGCAGAGAGCGAGAACGCACATGCTGCGCAGCTTCTTGGCCACAATGGGATCTTGACGGGTGACATATCCGGTGTCTGAAATCATGCCCACATCAATAACGGATCCAGCCAGGCCTCGGCGTCTCCGATCGGCGGCAAGCCCAGCCATGAACGTGTTCGCCATGTGGTAGTTGGACTGGCCAGGTGTTCCTATGACACTGCCTGTTGACGAAAGCATGATGAAGAAGTCGAGGTTTTGGCCCGAGAAAGCGCGGTCGAGATGGATGCTACCATCAACCTTGGGCCGGAGAGCAGTCTGCACAGATTCCACGTCCATCTGCATGAAGAGCTTATCTGACAATACCATTGATCCGTTGCAGACACCTGCAATTGGAGGCATTGTCTTGGAAATCTCATCGACAACTTCCTTGATGCGATCTGGGTTTGTCACGTCCATGGCCATCACCAGAACCTTGGCGCCCAGCTTTGCCATGGAGTCAATCCAGGTCTGGCTGACATTGGGATTTCTGCTTGCCAGCACGACATACTGGACGCCGTGCTTGATCATCCACGAGCAGATGGAAATGCCGACGTCACCAGTGAGGCCGACCATGAAGTACGTCTTGTCCGACTTGAAGAGTTGCTCGGGCTTGACGGGTTGCAGATCTGCCCGGATTGGGACACTCTGTGCCTGTCGCCAATCGATGACAGTCGTGGACGCACTCGCCTCGATTCCGCTCAAGTCGCCAATTGGTACAGTCCTTGCGGTATGATCTTCGGTAGCACCATTCAACTGAATGGTGGACGCATATGCCGTCTCAAGAAGCTGGGAAGCTGGTCTGTCGGATTGACTTGCAGGGCATTCCCAGAAATGTCCATCGGAGGGCTTGCGCACCAAGAGGAAAGACGAGACCTTCGAAAGAAGATCGGAAGAGTCGGCGTCACTGATCGAGTCTCCGAAAATGATTGCTGCCGTCTTGCGGGGTAAGAACGCCTTGAGCATGCGTGTGGGAGCGCGCGGTGGAATAAAGTTGTCGCCGGTCGAGTCTGGTGAACTTGCAAAGATTCCAATACCATTCTTCTTTGCCTCAACTTCGATAACGTCTCGTGCCATCTTGCTGATTCCGTGTAGCCATATAGTATGACCTCGAGGCACTGACCGTACCCAAGCCTGCGCGGCTAACACGACAGACAGGAGTGCAACCGCATTGGAGGCAATGCCTGCGGAGAGAACACGGTCGCTTGAAACTTGGAACACCGAGGAATTCGTTGGGGATAATGTAATTACAGCTTCGGAGCTGTCCTGGCGTGTGCCCACACAAAGGTATTGCGGCTCTTGGTAAGACAGCAGATTGATAGGTGCCAAGCAGGAGAAGGCATTCTCGATCGTGTCCAGCCTAGGCCTGTCTTGGATAAGCTTTGAACTGGCCCTGACTTCGATTGAGGTTCCAGTCTGGTTGACCTCAATGACGTGAGTCTCCGATGTGACCTCCTTGACGATTTGCCTTCTGGCCGAGTTAGTGCGCTCATTGGGGTCTTCGTACTCCTGAATGCGGGGAACGAAAAGTTGATTGTTCCTCAGACAGAGTTCGGTCTCCAAAGACCAAAACCTTTCGTCGGGCTCCATGTTTTGAATGGCCGTCAGTGTCAGCTGGAGGAAATGCTGCGAGATTGTGTTGGGATCAAGCTTGGTGGCTCCATCAATGTCCATCACCTGGAGGAACCTTCCCAACGCCGGCTTTTCAGCGCGCAATCCGCGACACAAACCAACCAACATGTTTGAGTAAGGATTTGACGTGGCCGCATTCTTTGTAAAAATCAATACTCCCCGAGCCTTCTCAATAATGCCTTTGAATCCGGACAGAGCTGCATCATCAACTCCGCTCTTGAAAGTCGGCTGGTCCAGCTCAGAGAGACAGAGAACCAGAGAATTTGCGGGTACATCGGATGGTTTGACACCTCGAAGGTCGGGAAAATGAACGACGTCGTTGCCAAAGCCTGACAATCTGTCCTTGACTGAGCGGACAATCTTTGATGTGGCAAACGTGGAACCACCAATGAGAGTAAATGGAACGAAGTCGGGTATCATGTGTGTGTTGTCGAGTGGCTCTCGAAGGGCGTTGATTGTATCATCAGTAGCTTGGCTAACGAAAGAGGTGAAAGTGTGAAGTTCATCTTCCTTCTGGTCATGGCTGAACATATCGACACCGGTGAATCCAACGTTGCGAAGCTTTTCGTCCCAAGTCTCAATGGTTGCGACCGGTCCGAAGCGTCGACAATTGTCACGCGCAAGCCACCAACCTTCTAGGCCGCCCATGATCACTTGAATTCGGAGGTGGTCTGAAGTCGGCTCAGTGACGATAAGAAAACCACCGGGCTTGAGCAGGCCCCTGACACGACGCAGCACGGCTTCAATGTCATCCGATACGTGCAAAACATTCGCAGCAATAATAACATCATATGATGGGGTGTCGAAGCCCTGCTCCTCGAATGGATGCCCGATATCCAGCTTCTTGAAAGTCATCTTATGCACGTATTCCGCAAATCGCTTCTGAGCCTGGGGGAAGAACGCAAGGGACACGTCGGTGAAGGTGTAAGAACCGAAGTGGTCGCCGATGGTATCAAAGACAGCTGAAGTCGTCGCACCAGTTCCGGCTCCGATTTCGAGAATATTTGCCTTTGGGTACCGATGGGATATGGCGTTCAGGTAAGCCGAGACTTGGCGCTGAGCATTGCGAAGACCTAGGCCTTCGCGGTAGAAATGGCTCAGTTTGTCGTCCGCAAAAAGGACGTGAACCATCTGCTTTTCGTTACGGAAGACGCTACCGGCTTCGTCTCCCACGAGGCGGAGAAGTTCAAAGTCAACTTGGTCCTGGTTTCTTTCAAGAATGGCATCGATCGTTTCTCTCGTGTCCTTTGCCCAGTTGCGATAAGGTCCCTTCTCGACCGTGTTCGCCAGATCCGTGAGCTGTTCGAACATCATCTTCTCATGAGGCTTCAAGTTCTCAACGCCAACCTTGCTCGCCTCTGATAACAGGTTGTGGCAGAAGAACAGAGCAACACGTTCAGATTCCTCAACCGCAACATCTTGAGGTGGGTTGAAATCGATTTCGAACTCGGCGCCGCCCAGGAGGTCAGCTTCCCATTTGGTCTCTGCGAAGATGACGCGGTCGTTGGAGGCGTCTGGTCGTCCGAGAGCTGCCAACGCCATTCCTTCGAGCTGAAGGAACGGCGTCTTGAAGTTGTCGCGGTGCGAGTAGATGCTGACATCGCCTCTGATCTTGGTTGCCGATAGTTCCATGGAGAAGGCGTCGATGAGGACTTCGATTTGACCGCCAGATGATGTGACGAGGCGATGTCTTGGGTTGACTGTGATCTTTTCGAAGCTTTGAGGTAGGTATGCAGTCCATAGCCTTTCGGCAGTTGGGGCGTTGAAGGCAGCAAACACCTGACTTATGTGAGTACAACATAAGAGACCTTTTATTTGAGTTGCAAAAAGGGCCAGAGCTTACCGGTTGCAGTGCAACATCAATCAGTGCTGGGTGGTAGAGATTTCCGTACTCGATCTCCTCAGCGAACCAGGACGCTATTGCGGTAGCAATACCATCAACACGGCGCATCGAATTGAGCCGTTTGAACAGATCTTCGTACTCCAGTCTAGTCTCTTTGACAGAGCTGTAGAAACGCTCCACATCCACGGGCGGTACAGTTGCAGCCAGCGGGTCCACTCGAGGAGGGAGGACATCATCGTTGCTACTATCCAACGACACAGAGATGCTTCCAAAACAGGTTCTATCTACCTTGCCTGTGCTTGCATCAGAGCATACATAGGACGAAAACTCGGCTGTAATCTTGCTCTCGTCTTTGCGTGTCACTTTGACCGATGTCAGCATCTCGACTGGTCGGGGCCCCTCCTCTACCTTGAGTGGCCGCTCGAGGGTGAGATTCTTGATCTCAATCAGCGACATGTGCTTGTCGCCGCTAAGGAACTGCGCCACCTCTAGCATCATCGCGATGTATCCAGCCGAGGGGAACAGCACCTCTCCCTGGAACGAATGTCCGCGCAGCCAAGGGAGCTCCTTCAGACTCAGGAAGTTGCGCCAACGTGGTTCCCAATCCGAGTCATCGGGGCACCGGTGGCCCAGCAAGATGCTCTCATTTCCGCTGGAGCGTAATCGGTGATTGCGCGAGAGTCTCGATTCACGCCATATGGGTGCGCCATGATCCCAAGAGTAGGTGGGGAGGGTGTCGACAACCTTGTGCGTGGGAACTTCGTCACGCCAGCAGCGTTGATATTGGTCCAAGTCAAGCACTTGCGCCCCAAAGTGAGACCACAAGAAACCTTGCAGCTGCATCATACTGATGACACAATCCTCGCCTCGGTTCATGCTGCCGCAGTACGGGAGTTGCTTCCCCAGATGTGGTCGTACAGTCTGGTTCACAGGTCCTTTCAGCGCAGGATGCGGTCCAATCTCGATCGCGACGTCGAAAGGGCCGCCGTTTGTCAGTGCCGTCGTGACCGCATCTGCAAATAGCACAGGCTTCACCATGTTTTCGATCCAGTAAGGCCCGCTCAGATCGTCAAAGTCCTGATCCCAGTATCGGCTCGCGGTTCCATCTACACTTGAGACCCAGACACATTTACTCTCCGTTTTCAGGGGCGAGATTCCACATTTTCTCATCGCTTTGAGGTAGGCCTCGGAGCAGGCCTCCATGTGCGGTGAGTGATACGCCTTGTCGGTCTTCAGCACGCGGGCAAAGATCTTCCTGTTGTCGAAAACTTCCTTGGCTTCTTGGATGGCGTCAACGTTGCCGGAGAGTGTGACGCTAGAAGGGGAGTTCTTCGCCGCAAGACAGATCCTGCCTTTGAAAGGTGCCTCGCGGCAGAAGTCTTGCGCTGCTTCGCTGCTAATTCCTACCGCCATCATGGAGCCTTTGCCTGCCAACTTGGCGTAGACACCTCGGTAGAAGGCAACGCGGATGGCGTCGGACAAGGAGAGGATGCCGGCCGCGTACAGTGCAGCAATTTCGCCTGACGAATGACCGACCACAGCGCTGAACTTGATTCCGCTGGTTTGCAGCATCCGAGCCAAGCCAATTTCCACTGCTGTGGTTGCGGGCTGCGCGATCTCGGCTTCAGAGATTCGGCTTTCCGATGTGTCGGCGAGCAGCTCTTGTTTCAACGACCATGACGGAGCATCGGGGAGTTTTGCCAGAGATTCATCGCACTCCTCAATGGCTGCTCTGAATACAGGACTGTGTGTCAGCAAATCCTTGCCCATGCCAGGCCATTGTGCACCTTGTCCAGTGAAAATCCCCAATACCCCAAACCCCTCGGAAGGGGAGACTAGGGATGCGGCTGGTGTTCCCAAAGAAGGCTGCCCGCCAGCAGAGTCTGCAATGGTCATCTCGAGACTTGCTAAAAGATCCTTCCGTGATGTCGCATGGAACGACTTTCGGAACCCAAGTCCGCTTCTTCGTTGCCATAGCGTCCATGCTACGTCTTCGAGTCTCACGTTCGGGTTGTTGTGGATGTATGTGGTCAGTCGTCGGATATTTTCGAGTAGAGAGATTTGTGAGTGAGCGCTGAGAACAATAGGCGTAGTGAAAGGGAGACCGCCAGACGTCAAAGATTTCTGTTCTGGCTCCGGCTCGTATGATTCCAGGATTACGTGTGCATTCGTCCCTCCAAATCCGAAGCTGTTTACACTTGCACGCTTTGGCTGTCCATCAGTCCTCGTGGGCCAGGGAGTAGGCTCTGTGGGGACTTTGAGAACGCGCCGGTAGGGCTGAATATTTGGGTTCAGGGACCTGAGATGTAAGTTCGGAGGGATCGTGTCATGCTTCATTGCGAGAAGAACCTTAATGACACCCGCCAAACCGGCGCAGCCTTCCAGATGGCCAACTACTGTTTTAACTGAACCCACGAAAAGGGGGCTCACTTCTGTGTCTGCAGCACCCTTGGCTGCAAAGAAGCTCTCAAAAATACCTCTGGCTTCTGTTGGGTCACCAGCCTGTGTTCCCGTGCCATGTCTAGTCACCATGTTAACGATATCAGACCGTCCCATGAAGCGAGTCAGCACCTACGCCTCAAAGTATTGACACCTGTCTTCTGCCTCTGACGGATCCAGCCCCGCGGCTCGGTACGTCTCCGTCGTCAATCTCGCCTGCGCCATGGCACTCGGCATCGTGATCCCCGGCGTTCGCCCGTCAGAGTTGACACCCGAGTTGCGAATCACAGCTTGTATGGGGTCATTGTCCCGCAAAGCCTTGCTCAGCGGCTTCAGCAGCAGTGACGCCACGCCCTCGCCCCTAGCATACCCGTCCGCCATGGCATCCCACATCTGACACTTCCCCGTCGGCGAGAGCATCCGCAGCTTCGACTCGCTGATGTACATGTCAGGCCCGAAAATGAGGTTGGTGCCGGCGACGACGGCCGTCTCCGCCGCCCCGCTGCGGAGGTCCTGGACGGCGAGGTGCATCGCGACAAGCGACGACGAGCAGGCAGTGTCCAGGCAGATTGACGATCCGCAAAGATCGAAAAAGTAGGAAATGCGGTTGGCTAGGATGGCGCGCGACGTGCCCGAGGCGGTGTAATGCGACAGGTCTTCCGTGTCGCGGTACTGGATCGTCTCGTAGTCGCCCGTCATCACGCCCACGAACACGGAACACCGCGAGCCCTGGAATCTCTCAATGGGCGTGCCGGCCGATTCTGTGGCTTCGTAAACCGTTTCCAGGAGGAGCCTCTGCTGCGGGTCCATAGCCTCCGCTTCCAGAGGACTCACATTGAAGAACGTCGTGTCGAAGAGGCGAGGATCTTCTTCGAGGAAGTAGGACTTGGTGACGTTCGAGCTGCCATGGTGCTCGCCGTTGGTGTTGTGGAACTTTTGAAGGTTCAGACGATCTGGGTCTGGCTCTCGAGATAGGTCTCGTCTGCTATTGAGCACCTCCCAGAGCTTGGCGGGTGTGTTGGCGCCTCCTGGGAAGCGATGCGCCAGCCCAATGATTGCGATGGGCTCCATGTTCTACTGGATCCGTTAGCCTGTCAACAGAGCGTATACTTTTCCATTGCACTCACATGTTTTGTTACAATATTCTATTTCGTGTGAACAAAGGCCGCGTGAAAGTCGGTAAATTCAGTAGCAGGTTCGCGAGTGATGCGAGAGGCCTTCGGATGGACATCAACTTGGGTGCATGGTGACTGACAGCCCCAACGGTCCAGTAATCTACGCAAACGGGTAAATTAACCCCCTCTTCATCGCCCGCTACTATGTACAGCGAGCTATTACTGACTAGGGGTCCAGCCCAAACTCTTTTTGCCTGCATAGTGCCACCTGGCCCCCAAAGAGGAAACATTTACGCACAAGTCTACAGCACGTTTTCTCCCTCTCTTTGCACACCTTACCCTGCCATCCGATATTATTCGTCCCAATAGTATGGGAAGGTTTTGCCCGAAAGTATCATTGACGATCGTTCTCGCGACTTAGTGTCCATGTTGCAGCGTACGTGTCGTTACCCCGAGAAGCGCATTGAGAAAGAAACCCGCCGGTACAACCGATTCTAACTCTAATTGCTAGTCTTTACAGCTGAGATGCAACTTTGAAAGTTTCCAGATCAATGGGGGGTGGGACAAACCTTAGAGAATGGGTACCTGGCCAGGTGCGTTCGTTGGCTACAGAGTGAAGCGCGGGTGGGGATTAATCCACGAGTCAGCGGGGGGGTAGCTAGGCCCGTCTCATTATGCGAGGGGGTCTCTTGTAAACTCGCCGTCGGAGCTGTTATTTCGTAGTGTTCAGATGGCGACTTCATGTCAGTATTCAGGGAGCATTGCTGAATCGTAGTGTTGTTCGGAGGGACTGTGGAGCACGACGGCGATTCGGCTCAGACAAGCCTCCCGACGGAATTCTTATCCGTGATGAGGGAAGAACGGACGAGTAGTTTGTGTAAGTCTGTCTTTACCTGCATCACTACGAGAATGTTCTCGACACTTTACCGGTTGCAACGAAGTACTAAGAGTTATCTTCACAAACCATGACACAACCGTCGAAAGCGAGGAGGGCAATAGTCGTCCAGAGCCCAGGAACAGCAACTGTAGTCACGCTCACAACACCAAATCTATCACCAACAAATGTCCTCGTCAAAACAGCATGCGTCGGCTTGAATCCGTCAGACGCCAAGATGGTGCAGGCCGGCATGCCGCAAGGCTCAATGGCCGGCCTCGACTTCGCCGGCATCGTCATGTCAAAAGGCACAGATGTGTCCTCAGACATACGACCAGGAGACCGAGTGTGCGGCGTGGCCTTTGGATATAACAACAATGACGAAGCCACGGGTGCATTCGCGGAGTACGTCGTCGCCGAAGAGCATCTGCTCTTCCGCATACCAGACACCATCTCCTTCCAAGAGGCCGCAACATTCCCTTGCGGTCTCCTCACAGGCGGCATGGTCCTTCACAACACCATGAAGCTCAAGACCGCGCCTGCAGATGGCGATCGACATGTATTGATATACGGCGGCAGCACCGCGTCCGGCCTCTTCATGATCCAACTACTAAGACAGTAAGCCATCCTCCCCCGCTTCTCACAACCAAACAACCTAACCTCCCCAGGTGCGGCTTCATCCCCATCGTCACCTGCTCCCCGCACAACTTCCCCCTCGTCAAATCCACCGGCGCCGCCGCCGCCTTGGACTACACCTCACCAACCTGCGCCGCCGACATCCGCGCCCTCACCGCCGACCGCCTCGCCCACGCCGCCGACTGCATCACCACGCCAGACTCCATGCGCATCTGCTACGAGGCCCTCGGCGCCGCCGGCGGCCGCTACGTCGCGCTCGACAGCTTCCCGATCGCAAGCCACTCGCGCCGCGCGGTCCGGCCGTCCTGGGTCTTCGCGATGAGCGCCTTCGGATCCGCCGTTGATTGGGTCGCGCCGTACAAGTGCGGGGCATCCCCGGCGGACCGGGAGTTCGCGGCCGCGTGGACCAGGGAGGTGGCCGCGCTCGTGGGGGCGGGGGATGTGAGGCCGCTGCGGTACCGTGTCGTGGGGGAGACGCTCGACGATGTTGGGCAAGGGCTGGAGGGGCTGCGGAGCGGGCGGGTTTCAGGCACGAAGCTTGTGTGTATTGTGGACAAGTCCATGGTTTGAAGGGATAGACGGTGAGTTGCGCTGCGGTGGGAACTTGTCCGCAGCAGTTGTGTTCTCGTCGGAGTTGTTGAGGTTGCCGACCGCCCACTTGTACGATATGCAGAGCCAGAAAGTTTAAACCGCAGCATATACGGAAGTCCGCAGGGACCAGTGGCTCAAAACCCTTTTTTTCCTATAGCTACGGCTAGTGTGAGTGCGTATAGTAGTGCCCTCGCTTAAATAAACGTATCTAATTAGTTAATTATATATATAAACCTCTTTAATAGCTATTTATTAATCTCCTACTTATACTAGTTTCTATTTTTTTTTCCTTGTTAAAATGATAATCTAATAAGTAAAGATTTATATATATTACTATATAGTATAACCTTATTTTTTATATATTTTTCTCTCTATTATTTATTATACTTTTATATATTACTAACATATATTTAAGTATAATACTAATATATCTTTATTAGTTCTTAATAAGGTTAGTAACATAGTATGACTACTTAAAACTCTAGCTATACTCTTATCTAATCTTATTTATAACTATAAAAGCTTTAGTTTAACTAAATACTTATTTATTTATAAATATGTATTCGTTTTTATAATTATTTATGTTAACATATAACATTCTTTTTTAATAATAATAATATAAGAATAATAATAACGCTAAACTTACTTTAATATTCTATATAAAATAAACTAATAAAGTTTAAGGTATAAAACCTTATATAAAAATACTTGATTTATTATAACTTATTACTATAATATTGATTATGTAATACGTATAGTTACGTAAGCACCTTATGTAATTAGCAGTCTAGCAGGTTACGTTTCAGGTTATCTTTCCCCTCACTTTTCCCTACTAGAGGATGCAACCTGCGAACAACAACAACCAGACTCATCACAATACATCTGTTCCCTTATTCTTATCTATACAATTAAATGCTCATAAATGCTCAGAATTATTACCTTTTATCATATCATTACCACATCTATAACCTTATACTATATAGGCGCATATACCACGCCCCTGAATACGCTTATACCTGTGCTAACAGAAGTATATATTTTTAGCATAAGCTTTTATACTAACTATCTCTATAGTAATAAAGGAGCTAATTATACTTTTATTACTAGTAATCTTCCTTCCTATATAACTATATATAATACTTATTAACTTTATATATATAAGTATAAACACTCCTATTAATACCCCTAAGAAGTATAAATATATAAACCTAATTATCTATATTATTAAGCTTACTTAGCTTACTTAGTAGCCTATTAAGCTTACTTAAGCTATATAGTAGTTGACTTAAACTATATAGCTTCCTATAGACTTAAATAATAATATATTTAATAATAAGGATATTAGGAAAGTTATATAGTTACTTTTCTACTTAATTAAGCTTCGAACCTTCTACTATTTTATAAAAAGTCTTATATATCTTATAGATATTACTAACTAAAATACTAAAAGTATATATACTTCTATATACTATTAATTACTACTTACTAATACCTTTCAGAAGAAAGGTTATATTTAACCACCTACACAACCCTCAATCTGCTACCCTTAGACCTCGTCCCAATTAGGCGAAAATGATTAGTTGTAAAAGAACCTCTAAATGTATTAGCTAAGACCCCTGTAAAGTGGGGGAAAGAACCTTCAAATGTATTGGCTAAAACCCCTGTAAAATGGGGGAAAGAACCTTTAAATCTATTGGCCTGTGTTGTGGGGCCTAGGGCCCTATTGGCTGTGAGGGCCCTGCACAGGCCCCGCTGGGGCTACCTCCAGCGTAGCCAGTCTAGCCAGCGTAGCCAGCCTAGCTAGCTTAGCTAATTAACTAAGTTAACTAATAGTTAATAGTTAATAGTTAATAGTTAACAAATAATATATTATTACTAAAGATTAAAACTTAATAACTAATAATTAATATTAAGTATTTAATACTTAATAGTTAACAACTAATAAGTAATAGTTTACAAGTATTAAAAAAAGCTTATTAGCTAGTATTTTATAAAGAATATTTATATTTTAATACTTCATAATTAATATAAATATATAATATATAATATACAATAAAATAATAGCCAATCAGAAATAAATAATATTTAATATTTAATATTAAGTATTTAATAGTTAAAAATAAATATCTTATATTTAAAGCTTAATAAATAATAATAAAAAAGATAATTCTAAAAAATAATACTTAATAACTAATATAGATAGATAATTAGTAGTTATCTATAGCTAATAATTAGTATTTAGTAATCTATAGCTAATAATTAATATATAATGTTTTAATATAAATAATTAAAACTTAATATTAATAATAATTAATATAAAAGTAAAGTAAGTATAATATATATATATATATAACGTGGTTTATCAGTCAGCCAGCCGGACCAGTCAGCTGGACGTTTTTTTCCCACATACACAACAACATCTAGTATTTCTCAACCACAACGCATTAAATCAACTATTAGTTGTCGCTATCAGAATCTCCTGAGGGTTCGACATCTTTGGAATAGGTTCGCGCGTTATGCCCAGTCTCACCACACATACCACAGCGTCTCTAAGCTGGCTGGGCTCTCTTTGATGGACCCCCCTCGTTATCCTCTTGAGGTGCTGGACGTTTCCCTTTTTGTTTCCCTTCAAGCAAAACCTAAGATTCCTCTATACTAAGTGCCCCTCTAAGCTAGACCTGCGTTCTTTTAGCCCTCTAGCGCGTAGCAAGTGCTATATTTATATCCTTAAGGGTATAAAGCTGATCAGTCAAAATAGTGATTAAGTGCGCTATTACCTATACACCCTTTAATAATTGCTTAACTGCAGTAATAATTAGTGTTAGTAAGCTTCTTTAATAAATAGAGATATAACT